TGATTTTATCTGAAGGCTGTTAAGGACAGTTCCATGCACAGTAACTTCCCGTAGAATGTGATGCGACAAGCAGATATGGACAGTAACATCTTTTAACAGACTTAGCAGGGCTAGAAGAAGGTATTTGTCCATGAGTCCAACTGGAGAAACAAAGACACGACCCAATTTCCTTGCACTTAGCATATTCTAGAGAGAAGGTACCACCAGCACTGCCTGGCATGGGCTAGAAAGCTTCACGAAACCCCTTCAAGCCTGAAGATACTGATGTTCAGAGGGAGTGGGCAAAAACACAAAAATAAGAGAGAATACCTTTCTTTCCACATCCGAGTTTGATTTGAACACTGTGAAAAACAACCCATTTTCAGCGCATGGGTTGATGCACCAAGCCCCACCTCACCTGGCTATTTCTGCTATCTCTGCAGTTTGTGCAATGAAGTTGTAGGGATCCGGATGATCATCAAAGTCTTCATCATCATCTGTTTCTCTGCTGTTGTGTTTCTGCTTGCTCAAGCCAGGACCACGTATCCTTGGTGTCTGTGTGGCTGTTGAAGTATGGGAGCGTTTGTGTTTAGGGGAGCTGTGATTTGAGCCATATTCTTCCTCCGAAGTAGAAGTGTAATCTGAACCCTGTGGTCGCCGCCTTGATGCTTATAAAAAATGAATTGGTTTCAGACCAAGGAAAGTGGCAAAGAATAACTACAAAAGGGCAAAAAGGTAACACAACACTAGCCCAAGAATACAAAGAAAGGAGAGTTTCTGTGCAGATTTTAGGTTAAGCAACACATTTGTCACAGTTTATCTCAAACCTAAACCATGGCTCTGCCATTCACTATACAAATTTGAAATGAGAAACTCCAATGGAAAAGTAGAATGATTTTTATCAATCTAATCTATTAAATTATCACACTTAGCTTTCCATGCACAGAAGCTCTGCATATAAGAAGAACACATTTCAGACTCCTCATAGTACCCACAGAAGTCCTTTTCTAAAGAGAGCCCATTTTTCAAGCCTGCAGACCCCTTACCAGTTAGCTGCAAGTACAAGGAAAAGGAATATTTTTCTGAGTGAAGCAGAGACTGTGGTGCTTGGCTTTACTTGCAGGAGCCCTCACACTCATGTTCTCCTCCTGCCTCACAAGTCATTTTTAATGATATTCCACAGGAAAGCAAGTGGAGGCTATCCAGGTATCCCAGCGGGTCCTCACTGTATGGGAAGCACTGGGATACCCAAACAGCAAATGCTGTATTTGAAAACTGGGCTCCCAGAGTTTGCTATCTCACTGCGGATATTGCTTCATTCCCTTCCATCCTTTCCTACAGAAAGGAGAGCTACCCAACACAGAAGCAGCCAAGTTATTTAAAATTATGATACTTCACTGTGTTACTAAGATTATCATAACGCTAAGCCCCTGCAAGTGAATTAAGCCAGCATCATAAATCACACAAATAAAAATACTGAATTTGGCATAAAAGATATGGATAATTACCATATAGAGAAGATACTATTCCTAGACATTATTAGCTCTGCTACAGCTGTTTAAAAGATCTTGTCTCAAGATTTAAAAATATACATGCAGAAGAAAAACGTTGGCTCATATTCCAGCTGCAAAATACACACAACACATACTTTATATGTATGTGTGTGTGTATATATATGTATATATGTACATATATACACACACATACATAGATACACATACATATAACACTATATAATACAGTATAATATATATATAATAATATATGTTACATATTAATAATATATATTATACAATACTAGGGTTTAGAATAAAGAGGTCATCTTGTCACTGAACAGGAATTTTAAATTAAGAGCCTGATTTCCCACTCCTGTATGCCAAGGGAAACCACAATAGTCATTCAAATTACACTGGGTAAACGAATCATGTACATTTAGGAGTAGGGGAAGACAGGCCCTTAGCTTTCAAAATTGGTAACTTGGATTATTTTGACATTATAAGCATGTTTCCCATAAAGTTACTTCAGATCATCTGACAATCCACTGGCATTTCTTGTCTCCTGGCCAGATACTTCATTCTGTTCCTGTATTAGCAAGATTATCTTTCTCCTACTGTGACAGTTGGAAACTATGTGATTAGCTAAATGTTTTAAGACATCCTTGAATAAATTTGGCCACATCTGCCTCCCTAGACACAAGGTCTGAAGATCATTATTTTCACTGACTATTGCATCATGCTCATAAATGTCTTAATAGCACAGTGCCTTAGTTAAGTTTATCCAAGTTCCACTTTTGACGTAGGAAGGGGGTTCTAGTAGTTCATTCACAGTGTCTGCAATGTCAGTAGAGGAACATGCACCATACACTAGCTAGAGGAGAACAAAGCACTAAATACACTAGCCCATCTACATCTTGTACAGGGTCCAGAATCCACTCAAGGAATTAGGAGGTTAGTATTTTAAGAGAAACTAATTCAAAGAAAGGATTAGCATCTGCTGCAGCAACTACGCACATGGGAAGGTGTTAGTACCTTGCTACAAAGCTCTGGAAATCAAAAACCAATTCATTTAAAACAAGAACTGGCCAACTTTTATTATTTTCCCCAGATTATTTAAAGTTTCTGGTCCGATAACAGGGAGGTGGGAACAGTACCTCCTGTCTGGAAATTTCTGACCACATTATTGCTTTGGATTTTCTATCGCTTAATAAGAAAAAGTAATAGCAGCATGATCTCAGACAAGGCAAGAGGAGAGACTATACATGTTCTTTTAGCTTATTCACATTGCGATTTACATGCATATACAAATATGTAAGAAAAAAAAAAAGAGAAATTGGATGAGCTAAAACAATCCAAATTAAGACAAGCAGCAAGTAACATTTTTAGCATGCAATAAAAATGAATTGCGCCAGAAGGATAATCATTTCAAGTAGGAAAATAATTTTTCACTTTTGTAATTTATTATTTCAAGTATGAAAGTATATGAAAAGGACACTTCCGGTATTCTAGGACCCTTTATAAAAATCACCAATCAGCTGAAAATTGTTTCTATCCCAACAGGCCTGTGAAAATCTGCCAAAGGAGTTCTTCCCATTCCCTTAACCCTCCTGCCATTCCTAAAAACCCAAACAGATACAATTGGCCTGGTAGGTCAAGGAGCCAGAGCAGACTAGCCCAAAGGTATTAACCATGCCCTGGGCAGTGTCTGATTTCCAATAACTTACTAGAGCTGTCAGGTTGTCCCCATCTCTTAAATAGATTGTTTCATTTTATTTGTATTTTAAACTTGATATCTTGGACATCAGCTATCATCAATACCAATGCAAGTTTTCTTGACGTAAATTGAGTCTTAAAAGTCAAGAGAAAAGTAGAACAGAATTGTAGCACTGGAAAAGAACAAATTCTACTTTTGTAACAAAAACAGTTAATATTCTTGAGCCAAAATGTAATTGCTTGCCCCTAAAAAACAAAGGCACCAAAAAAGCTGAGAAAAACAGATATTTGCAATATCCTTGCAGACAGCTCAATAACATCTCACTGGTGTTCTGCTTTCTCCAAACACCACTGCCCATGAAACATCCCCCGTGATTTTCTGCAACCCTCTTGTATTAATGCAGACTCTTCCCTCCCTCCCTCCCACCCCGGTGTCTACGTGCCTGTTTCCATTTCATACTTGCCAGCGCAGCACTTGGATTCCTGGGACGTCAATCCTTGGCAATCCTGCGCAGCCTATAAATTAGACACGGGGCAAGACGGAGGGAACATAAAGCACAGCCACTTACTGGAAGAGGAGGAATACTTGACGCTGCTGGAGCGGGTTCTGCTGAACGGCTGCTTCGCCGAGGCGGCCGCTGCCGTTTTCCTCGCTGCGGCTCTGACCTCCGAAATCCCCGTTTTCCGGTAGGCTTCCACGCTGCGCCCCGAAAAGCCCGTCCTCGGTTGTGCCGTCTCGGAGTCGCTCGGCACCGTAAACGAACCGGCCCGTTTCCTCGGCATGGCGAGGATGTCGAGCCGGGAAAGCTTCTTCGTCTCCGTGGATTGCTTGGACCCTGTGGCCGCTTCGGCGTTGGAGGTTGTTTTCTCGGTGTCAGCACACTCGTTGTCCGAAGCGTCGCCCAGCCGGGCGCGACGCAGCTTGGAGGCCCTCGTGGGCCGTGGGGTGGACAAGCTGTTGGAGCGGGTGAGGACTTGCTGGATCTTCTGCACGTTCGATGTTGTTTTGCTCTGATCCTCTTTAGCAGCCTGAGCGAAAGGTTTCCTTCTCGGAACCGGTCTGGCTACTGAGTGCTCCTGGTCAGAGGCCACCGCCTCGGGGACCGGCAGGTAGGGCAGGCTCGAGCTTCTCTCATCGTCTGTAAAATCGAGGGACCCTCGAGCCCCGGCACTGCGCTTCATTTGGAAGCGTTTGGTTGCCTCTACTCGGCTTGCTGCCTCCGGCACCTGCGTCTTCCGCTTTTCCGTCAACCTGTCCCGAGCGCTGGGCTGCCCGCACTGGTCCTGGATGGATGGCGTGGAGGAAGATTTCTCCTTCTGCAAACTGGCAACCGCTTTGCGTTTCGGGGCACTTGTGGGGACGTTTTTGCCACTCACCAGGCTGACTGTGCTGGCTGTGTCCACATCAGAGTCCCCAGACAAGGAGTCCTCCAGCTGACCAGCAGTATCCGAGGACTCCAGCTGTTGGCTTTGACTAAGTAACTTGGCTTCCAGGGCTGCCAAGGCAGTTTCAGTGTCCTTGAGGAGAAGATGAGTGTCCTGACCGAAGTCCATACGGGTTGACCGAACAGCCTCTAAATCTTTAAGCAGAGGGTGACTTGAAATATGTGGAAGTTTATTTTGAGGAACGGCACTGCTTGATTTATCTTTGGTAAAACTTTCCTGTCTAACAAAAGATGATGTTTCCTTCCCTGCCATGTTTTCCTGGTCTTGAGGAAGATTCTGATGAAGGGAAATAACCATTTTTCCTGCTGCATTAATGTAAGCGTTAACATCTTTGACCGGTGGCTTTCCAGAAATAGGTGCAACAGCAGCCTTGAAGGAAAACTCCTGCTCCTTGCCTTCTTTGTCTGCTCGAGCACAGGACATGCTCAAAGAGAGCTTGGAAGGGATCCCCACATCGTTGCTGTCATCACCAATGTAGAAGGAAGCAGCAACTGGCTCACTTACAGCTCTCATATTTGAGACCCGGGGGGCTCCTGGCTGCCGGCTCTCAATTTTTGCATCTTCCCCCATCTGCTCTAGCATTTTATTGTTCTCTTTATATTTCCTGCCTTTTTCTGTACTGAAGCCATCGTCAGATCTACTGGCATCGCTGAGGCTATCTGGATCCAAGTCTTCTTGGATGAAGAGCCGGCCGTTGGGATCGCCGTAGGCTTCCACGCAGTGATCCTTTACGATGCTTCTCTTGGTAACCTCGGTGTAGGACTCCTGACAAATCACAACCGTCGGAGTGGGGCTGTCCGATTTATCGCTTGGTGGGAGTTGGGGAAGAAGGCGCCTTGTTCTCGAGGGCACAATGTTCTCTGGTTCCCCGGGTTTTGGGGCTGCACCACTTTCTGAAGAGAGTTAAACAGACACTCATCAAGTGTTGTACAATGATATATTACTTATTCAATAAAGACTTGATCTTGCAAAGTGTGAGTCCACGAAAGCATTTATACAGCACATGCTTAAAATTAAGCTTGTGTTTAGTATGAACACCAACAGGATCAAGCCTTTGCTATGCCTCTGCAGGTTTATCAGCGCATATGCTTAAGATAATGGTATTTAATCCCTTTGCAGGATCATTGTCCTCAGCACCTTCCATCTGAAATCCTGCCTTGACAGTCTTATGCGATCTACTCTTCAATACAATTACACACATTTAGAGACTATGCTATCAGTCTGCCAGCATCAATTTACCACAGATCAGACCACAGGAAAGAGATAAAGACCCATCAGCCAAACCATCATAGAGATGCAATACTCTACATACTGTAGCCCATTTCACTAAATGGATGACATTTTCCACAGCATGAGTTCTTGTATGATCATATCCCACAGCAGAGTCTCAGGAGAAACACTCAACAATGAAGAAATTTTGAACTAGAGCTCGCTGCCCCATCGTGGGCAGACTTGTTGTAAGGACACTCTCCACAAAAAGAGTGTTTTTATCTCCCATGTCACTGGTCAGGACTTTGTATATGCTGTCCCATATAATTACCAGGACAATTAGTTATTTAACTAAGGTAACATTTCAAATGCTCTGGAAGTCAGATTCTTGCACAGGGTGAAAACTGCAGAAGTAATGTCTGAAACAAAGATTCTTTCATCTTTTACTGAGTTAATTTATTTACTGAATTTATAGTTGCTGCTAGTAATGACAAATATTTTCTACAAAAAAAGAGGAGGGGATTCAACAACAACAAAAAAGGGTTTCTACAGGACTTGGGGAGTTTGGAAGCTGCTTTCCTAGCTGCGATGTGGGCCTGACCTCCGCTCACTTCCTCACTCTCCTTCACACCCAGGTTTCTATGCCGATTTCTGCACTTCACACCTACGAGCAGACCCCAAAACTGCCTAAAATCCTCAGCACAGCCAGACACGACAGAAGCACACAAACACCCCGCTAGCAAGTGCCAGTCAGCAACTTTTTCCAAGACAACTTGCAAAAGGCTTTTTTTTCCTGGCATCATAATGCAGTCTAAAGAATCACACAAGGCAAATCAATTCCCAAGGCCCTTACGATCTTTCTGCTTCCCACTGGCACTTTAGTCATGTCAAATGCAGAGCTGAAGAACTTCTTAGATGAGTCTGAAATGCAAACCAGAGACTCTCTCCATTTTTGTTTAGGATTCATGTCTCATACTCCTCCACTAAGAATTTACTCTGTCCTTCCCACTCCCAAGTACATTAGCTAAAATGGAAAACAAGCTACAGACAGACACATCCCTCTTTTCATAACAGTTTAGTTTAGATTCACCAGCCTTCAAAAGGTAACATTTGGATGAGACTTACCTGTACCACCGTCACCCTGCCCAGAAACAGATCCAGAGTCAGAGTAACTGTCTGCAAGGCTTGCCCACCTAGACACCCACTTCTGACTCCCTTGAGATGCCGCTGACATCTACAACAAATTGAGGGAGGCAGCTTTATAAAGTCAGTTTTTGAAGCACATCAAAACTTCACCACAAAACTTCTCATACAACCATCACTCAGTCTCCTCAAAATGGAAATCAGTTCATGCACCACATTCCCTCCAGACAAAAAACCCACCTACACTTCCACCACCCCATCAAATCCACCGGGACTGCTCGTACCTGCGTTTCTGCCTGAGACCCACTCATAGTTTTGGAGGCAAATGCCTGAAGCAAGGGCGACTTCTGACTAGTGCCATTTTCACTGATTAGATGCTGATGAGAACCAGAGTCGTCTTTTTCACCTTTTATTACTGGTCTAAAGGCTGAAGATATTCTGGAAAACTCAGGTGACTCGAGAACACCAAAAACCTGAAAGGGTCGTTGCACAGGAAAGATTAAAAAAGTATTAGCTCAAAATCCAAATTCACAAAGCGTTAATGTCACATGCAAAGTCTGATCTCAAATACCAAGAGACACATGCTAATCCTCCCGTAAAAATGAAATAAATCACTATTCTCTGCTACTCCTTAGTAGCAAAAACACATATACATAGACCCATCACACCCACCTTTTCTTCCTCCCTTGTCATTTCAGTGAGCTGCCTTTAATAGCAGTAACTTTCATAGACGGAAGCTCTGAGAAATTGAGGATGATTGTCATTAAAGTGCTCTGCCAGCTAATTAGTTAATTCATGGAGAATTAAAAAAAAGAAATCCATCCTGGTTAGTGGGCTGACAAAGGGAACACTGTTTTGCCATGTAAAGACCTGGGAAAGGATTCACCTCTGAAGCAGCTGAGTGTTTGAGCTAGCTGGCTAGATCCCCTCTGGAGATAAACAGGCTCTGCTACAGGCATGAACACAACCCATGCCTCAGGAGGGCTCCTTTGGCTTCCTTGACAAAAAAAAAAGTTCAGAGAAGGTGCTACCACAGAAGGTACTTAGATTCAGGCAGAGGTGGCCACTCCAGAGTCCACTCTCACTTTTACTACGTGACGAGATGTGCATGTGTGGCAGAGGACAGCGGAGTCACTGCAAAATGCCAGCAAAGCTGAAATTATTGCTCTACTTCCTCGACAGAGAAACTGAGGTGCAGTTATAAGTTATTTCCCAAGTAGTAGGTCTACATGCCACCAAGTCTACGGCAGAATCAGGGGCTGAACTCAGTCTGCTTGCCTATCAAGGCCATCTCCACTCCCCAGAAATAGTATTTTTGTGCTATCTTCTCTTATTCTCCCACCAGAGCAATCTAGCTTTGGCTTAAACACAAAGATGACCCTGCCCTGTAAGCTTCCGATCATGTCTCAAATTAGATGCCAAGAACAAGTGTAATAAATAAATGAAAGAAGCCTGATCTGTGTGTGCCACCCACACAGCTCTAAAGCCATATTCAATTAAGGCTTCCTTTAAAGCTCACCCTCCTTCCTACACTCCACTAAGTCTTCATAGCAACTTGCCAGTTCCCTTTTCATAATAAACAGATGAAAGTTAAACCTGAAAGTCATCCAAATTCGGTTTGCCTTGGGGTTGTTTAGTCGAGTGGGTATTTTTTAGCCTCTCCCACATCTATTTTTTAGGTTATTGTTCACTTCACTAAATACAAACGAGTATAGATCCCTCTAGGGTTGCCTCTGCCCCAGACCACTCCCTTTGCTATCTGGACTAGCTGCCACTTGCCCTGCCAGCCAGCCCTACCTTTCTAACAAAGCAAAGCCAAACACAGAACCACCTACCTCTACCGGCTTGTGAACGATAAAGAAAAGGAGCCCTTGGCCTGCGTTTCCTTGGGCCTAGCACAGGATGCAGCTCCCGTTTGGAGTGTTGGCAGGAGCTGTGAGAAGTCCTACAGAGCACAGCTGCTCCCTTTCACGGCTCTCAACAGGATCAGCCCAATCTTTATCCCGAGTTTCCTGTTGCCTTTCCCTCTAACATATAGCAAGCCTTGAGCTTTTACACACAAATCCTACTTTGGTAGCAAAGCAGCCTTTTTTTTTTTTTTTTTGCTGTGGGGTTACCTTGCCTGCTTGCACTTGGTGGAGTTTTTGTTTGGTTATGGGTCTTTTTTGTTTGTTTATACCTTCACATCCATCCTTAACATAAATCAGCCTGGACACTTTCCCATTCCTAAACATATAGCCCCCCTGCATCCAAATCAAAAGGGTGAAGGCCTTGATGGCAACCGCTAGTGAAGCTGTGCCCTCAGCACAAGCTGCAGAAACCCAAGCCTTCAGTCCTCAACTTGTTGGCCAGCTCAGAAAAGTGGCACTTACCTGATCTATCATTTTTCGTGCTTCCTCCACCTCTTTATCCTGTGACTCTGTCTCGATGGTGTACGTCCCCGTCTCACTCACGCTGTCTTCCTCATCGTTCCTCCTGGCCTGGGCTGACTTGACCTCGGGAGGTGGAGCAGTGGCAGATTCTGGTTCTGATGATATAACCACCCGGGGAGCTACGGGCATGGGCAGAGGTACTGGTTTCTCAGCACTTGGCTTCCCGGACTGAGCAGTCTCCCGCAAATACTCAGCCATAAAATCCTGAGCCATTTTAGACTTCCTCCCAACGCTGCCGTAAGTTTTGGTTGATGATTTGGAAGCGGAGGAGGAGGAAGAGTTGATCCTATCCTCGGTCTTCTCCCTCTTGAAGGAACCAGTTCTTTGCGTCCCAGAGGAGCTGTTAGCCGGTTTGCCCGCCTGACCCCCAAGGTGGGATGAGGGCGCTGCATTTCCCGGCTTCTCCGTGGGCAACGCGCCCTTGCGCTTCTCAACCTTGGCCTTCAGCCCCGGATCGGTGTCGCTCTGGGAGGAGTGAGCGCTGTGCGTGAAGGACTGCGACCGCTTCTTCCGTGGCGTGTCCTCAAAGAACTCGATGACGAAGGCCTGCTTGTTGTGGAGCATCTCGTGGGGGTCGCGTCTCATCTGGCGCTGCAGCCGCGTTTGCTCTGCGGCGCGTTCGCTGCCCGTCGTGGTCTCCTTCTCTGCCTTGGGCGCCACAGGGTCTTCGGAGTCGCTCTGCGTCCCGTCCTCGTGCCTATTGCCTGGAAATAAGTCGCACAGATCTGATTTTCATGTTCTCAGTTGCTGTGGTCCTGTCACTAACTTGCAGCTGAAATTTATTTATTTTTAGTTAAAAGATATTTCTACTGTGCTATAAGGACAGTGTCAGATCAGGTGAAAAGAGGAGAGGCATGCCATGATCTCACCTTTCACAACTGACTGGCTACCAACTTCCTAAAAACAACTTCAGAAATTATTTTAACCTTACGGGGTTTTGGTTTTTTAACAGTGATTATTTTAGACATCTGATGTCTTGTTTCTTTCTTATCATTTAAATAAAAATAAAGACATTATTTTGGTGTTCTGCTCAATTACTCCAATCTAGGAGCACCTCGTTATGTGCATTTCGTTTTAGAGTAGAAAATTCCCTTGTAGAACTAGAGTAAAAAAAAAAACTGCATTGCATCCCATGGAACCAAATCCCCATGATGAAAAAGTTAAATGATCAATGCACCCATTTTATCCCCTTCTAAAAGAGGGCATAAAACAACAGAAAAGTGAACTTGCAAGATTCTTTATTTTTTTCTGAGGATTTAAGTTACATCATAACACCCCAAGAGTCACAACATCCTATCAAGGAGCAAAAGGTTAAATAATTACACAGAGTTAACTAAAAATAAGCTTGAGCTCATTTTCACTTATGTTAGAGACAAACATTTTCATAACCTTTGCTTTGCATCAGTGATGCTCTGCCCCTTAAGATCTTAGCTCAGGTCTTTCAGAAAGAGAGCCAGTTAAAGTAAAACAAACAGAAAAACAAACTGCATTGCATCCCATGGAACCAAATCCCCATGATGAAAAAGTTAAATGATCAATGCACCCATTTTATCCCCTTCTAAAAGAGGGCATAAAACAACAGAAAAGTGAACTTGCAAGATTCTTTATTTTTTTCTGAGGATTTAAGTTACATCATAACACCCCAAGAGTCACAACATCCTATCATCAGCTGAGCAAAAGGTTAAATAATTACACAGAGTTAACTAAAAATAAGCTTGAGCTCATTTTCACTTATGTTAGAGACAAACATTTTCATAACCTTTGCTTTGCATCAGTGATGCTCTGCCCCTTAAGATCTTAGCTCAGGTCTTTCAGAAAGAGAGCCAGTTAAAGTAAAACAAACAGAAAAACAAACCTTTTTTTGGAGAAGGAAACAGGTGTGAAGGCACACAACACGACTCAGCCAACGACTGGGAACCTGTCATCGGGAGAACGGGGAAAGAGGTCTCTGCGCTCTAGACTGTAACATGCAGCAATATATACTGGCTAAAATACCACGTGTTTGAAAGGGGAACTGCTCAAACCTACTTTGCAAGTTCTCCAGACACAGGAGTGAAGACCATTTATTACCTCGAGTTAGCTGTGAAAGGTGAGAATTTAACACAAGAACCATTCAAACCCAGGAGTCAGGCCTCTGAAGAGTTTCCTAACACCTTCCTGAAGAAAGCCAGCAGACTTTGCATTGTGCCCTAAAGGTTGATAAGTCCCATCCTTGCGAGGGCAAGTTCTTAAAGAGTCATGGCTGAGAGCTCTCCTGGATGTAAAATGGTGAGGATGCAAGGAAAAGGACCCGCTGTGCCTACAAATATCCCTGCAGACCACCATGTCCTTCCCAAAGAGTTGGGACACAACTCTCTAGTCTGGACACCAGGCTTTACGTTTGCCGTGTTGTTCCAAGCGAACAAATGTTACTAAAGAATCGCCACGGTGGATGTCTCTGTATTCCTGAAGACACAAAGTTGGTTGGCAGCCAACTAGGGCCTCTAAGACATCTTCAAAATTTGCCCCAGAGGAAGAACACGTTACACAGCTATCCAGAGTGTCGCAGATAAATGACATGTGCTCCTCTGCCAAAGAAAAGGTGGATAAACACCTTGGGCCACCGACACTGTCATTCTTACTCAAATGCTTAAACAGCTGACTTTCTGATATGCCAATTATTCAAATAAAATATCTCATTTTTTTTCAAAGTCTCATGGACAGTAAAGAACAAATGCAGTCTAGTGCTCTCTCTAGCATGAGCAGTGCGATGAGCAGCAGCAGCCAAGCCCTTTAGTAGTTCTGCACTCTGCTTTTGGAGAAAACTGAATCCCAATTTATTCCCTATAGACAAGGCTCTCCAGCAAGTCAACAAAAGTCTAAAATGTCAGTGATAAAAATGAAAACAAAACCTACCATCTACTGAAAAGAAGACCTTAAATAACCAGGCAGGACAGCTCAGTGATGACAAAAAGAGTTCAATTTCTACGTCATGCCAAACCCCAGGGCTGGAAATGCTAGACCTTCTTGACCATAGAGGCTTCTCAGAAACTGTACCCAAAACAACAAGTTGGAAGCATAACAGGTAAAATTTTTCACATTAAAAGGAGGATTTCTCCAACAATGACTGAGCAAATACTCCCGAGGGAAATTAAAGTAGTGTTCTCTTTTAAAAACATGTTATCCTCAAGCACAGGTGAGTCAGTAACCTTCACAATGACTTAATCATTCAATGGCCCAGTTTGAAACAACAGCTTCTCCAGCACTGCAAGACCTCCAGATACAAAGGCAGTGAGAATTCAGGAAGCAGTAATCTTTTTCTAGCTGTTCAGAGCCTGCTCCAAGAAAGGCTTCCAAGCAACCTGGATCTTGCAAAATGTTTGCAAAAGCTCAAGAAAGAATCACTGTTCCCACCAGCTGCTCTAAGCACAAAGCTCCAAACTACACTTCACACCTTTGAAAATCTCTAACGAATTCCTCACAGTAACAGGTCTGCGAAATCTGGAGTTGTTGAATACAGCAGGATTTCAGAGAAGCTTCAGTTTAAAGAGAAGAAATCTTTTTCCATAAGTATAGCTGCTTTCTCCGCTGCTGACCATGTGCATCTCCACTCTGTCACCAGTCTCCATCTCAAAACCTCTGTTTTCAACCCAAGAGGCTCTGGTTATGACAGATATCAGCAGCTAACCACACTTAGAATCTTTCACGCTACATCTAAAAAGTAAAAGTCATTCCTTCAGGTAGCAGAAGCCAAGAGAAGAAAATCCACTGCTATACCCCTCTTCATCTGTCTGCCCGACCACATGAAGATAATTTCAGATATGTAAAAATCAAAATTCCCTTTTTCCCAATCACTGTTACTGCCAAGATAGGGTTACAGACATGGAGGAAGCAGACAGTCCCAAGGCCAGCATCACATATGGCTTCAGGGCTGGGCAAAAAGCCTGCTAACCAGGCTCAAAGCCATTAATAGTCATTAAAACCAAAAAAATCTTCATTTTCCAAATTTGGGACAGAGATAAATGACTACAATTTTCCTTGATAGAAAAAGGGCTTCTGCCTTGATTATGATGCTGTGGCACAGCCAACAACCAGAGAACCCTGCTCACATGACAAGACATTCACTCACCTTTAAGCGTCCTCACGTGAACCGGCAGGTCACTCTTTGTACTGAACACATCGTCTCCTGGAGACTGTCGTCTCATCAAGCTGGGATCATTCTGGACAAGCCAGTCAGCCACTTTGCTCTCTGCTGACATCACTTCTGTATGAGCAGGGTCCTTACTGAACGGTCTTCTCTGTCTGAGCGAAAATTTAGTTACATGATCTTTTATTTTTATTTTACCGGGGGTACAGTCGTCAAATTCAATGGTGAAAGAGGCATGACTTTGCACAACTGGGGTCACTACTGCATCAACATCCTTTGTTGGTATTTCGTGGACCTGTGTTTCTGGAGACTTTGATGGCTGCTGAAATTCTTTAGTTGGGATCTCAAAGTAACTTGGCTCTCTCCGGAACGCAAACACAGACTGTTCTTGGGAATCTCTATAGGCAGAAATGTTTCCATTCAGCTCCTCTTCATGTTGCGTTATCTCTTTGGATCTTTCTACAGAAAAAGGGCCGGAGGCAAAAAGAGTATTAAATTCACAGACCAGCATTAGCTCAAGTTGCTGAAATGAATGGTGGCATTTTAAGGTTTCTGTCTGCCTGATATGGACAAGAGATATTCTGTTTCATTTCACTGAATTCACTTCCACTTGCACAGCTGTTCAGCCTTTTACAGTGTCATTTCACAGGAAAAACTTGATTGTGCAAAGCTAATCATGTTTGCAGTATTAAGGCTTAATTCTGTAACATTATCAAGGATACAAACACACTCTTGCAGTAGTACCCAAACTCCTTGGCCAGGCGGGTGATTTAACTTCCACTTCTTGACAAAGCTACAACCTCATAACTCCTTTCTATCAGATACACTGCACATGCACAGAAATTAAACACAGCTTCATGCAGTAAAAATGTATGTCCAACAGAAGCATCAAGTTTGCTGTATAGATTAAAAAAAAAAAGCATCTTTTTAGTATGCAGATTCATAATAATGAATAGAGAGGGTTCTAAAGATGATGAGGTGAGAAAGAGTAAACTTCCAGATCAGTCAAATCTAGTCAAAGCATCTGTTCTTAATCTGCCTCCTAGATAAGAAGCTCCTTAAGAAGACAGGTGTACACTATATGGATTAATCACGTGGGCTACATATGACCAGATACAGCACTGCTGTATAAAAAGGTCTCCAACAAGCTCAACAAGGCCTTTTCCATACGCACTAAAGTAGTATGCAACTGCAGGTTTTTTTTTTTTTATATATAACTTTCGCATGTGTCAGGGGAAACATTTCGTTTCCCCATGATTTTTGTTTCACTGGCAGCAATCTACGCATAGCACTGTGCACACAGGAGTACCGAAAGGCAGCAAGTAAAGCCTTAAAGCAGGATGTCTTTGCACAGCAAAGATCAAAAGCATGCTGCATTTCTGCCCCCACCCTAAGAGTTGATCTGCAGTACCTGAGTAGTGCTCCTCGTGTCTTCTGTCCTCCTTGTTATTTGCATCATCCTCCCCCCACCAGGAGGGCTGGCCATAAAGAGGGGTGCGATAAGTGTTGGTCTCTAGAACGAGGATAAACAAATGTTTGGACATAAAAACATCTATCTCCCAGGCAGACTGAAGTTAAATATGTCCCAACAGGAAAAAACAGAGCAAGATGAGCTGACATATCTGTTATATCACAATTAGAACTCAAATAATATGCAACAATAATTATGTTCAGACTTAAAAAAAAAAAATTGCTAATAAGATGGTGATTCCAGCTCCATTCACTTTCTCTCACACCTGTGTTTCTTAAGTGGTTTCCCTCCTTTTCCAGCCTAGTCATTCAGAGAAGGTGGGAGAGTGCTGCCCTTCCTGGCCCCACCACGTATTGATCACAGGTTTTCTGCAACCCTTTACACTTCCGCCCTACACAACACACGTCCTGTAACAAGAAATTCTTGAAATGCTAAAGATCTAGGGAAAATGGTAAAACCATCTCCTTATACATACAAAAAGAGGCAATCTCAAGATTACAGCCAAAGCAAGTAGGTTCTGGAGTCACTCTGGAACAGAGGGTTTTCTCCTGGTGTAGCTTCCTTAAGGATGCTAGATATCGAAGACTTGCTCTGTTTGGGGAGCACTCAGAGGAAAATTGGGCTTCATCACAACAGGTATCCAAAGGAACTGATCCACTGGTTCTTATTTATCTCCCATGAAACAAGACTGTATTTTAGGAATGCCTTGGGCTGCTGCTGCTTATCTGATAGGTAAAAGGAATACACCTCAATTTACCTGTGGCAATGGAAGCTATTTTTAAACTATTACAAAAATATAAGTGACGCAAACAAAACAGCTTGTGCCCCTTCACATTAAGGTGACAGTGACACAAGCAGAGACAAGGGGCTCAGGCCAACACAAGACCCCGTTCCCATTTCATTAGCATCGGTTTGTGTTTTTAAACCGCACGTTGCTTTGTTTAAAGGAGCCCTCAGAGAGGCCTGCACTTCTGCAGAGCCCAGTTTAATAAGGACATGACAGAGAGCAGTTGCTAGCATGACAAGGAGAATGAGAAGAGGAAAGGGAACCGAGTCAAAGACAAGAAAAGACCAAATTTATGTTGCTGTTTCTAACACTACACAAATCCAGTGACCACTGTTTCATGTTTTTTTTTTCCCCTATAATACTTCCAGAAATACATATGCTCATACATTCATACTCCACAGGCAAAAATTTTGCTTTTGAGATTCAGCCCACTGGCCCTTTTCGGAGATCTTCTTCATGTTGCAAAATTAAACACGCGCCTCCCTTCACACTGACATTCAAAAGAGGCTGAAAACATTACTCCCTTCTGCCCAGGGTGCACCGAAGATAAACTGTATTCCCATTATGTAGGCGGCCTTTGAAAGTTCAAAGGAGGAAGCATTTCTCAGCCTGAGTAAATTGGAATTGCCAAGCAATACGTTTCATAACTGTGGATGGGTAAACCACTTTAGGGGAAGAAAAAAGAAAAAAAAAAACTATTCACAAGCTTGTCATTGAACAGAGGAACCCAAACATGTGGTCTGCTAGTCTGAGATCATCTATCATTCAGCCTAGCAGAAACTCAGCACCTCCCCGTCCTCTACCATGTCCCAGGAGGCACCTTTTGGGTAGCTGCTGCAATAGATCATCACTCTCTAAAGCACAATACTAATCTTGGGGTCCATTGACAAATGTGAGCCAGGGCTCCCTGTGAGTCAGGGAGAAGGAGACCACAATTCCAGGGTTGTGGGCAAATCCACCACCAACAATGTCCAAGCTTTTCCTCGGCTGAAGGTCCTAGGGGCACAGTGAGGACCTCAAACCTGAAGAGATCTGTGAGGTTCTTGAGGCTTGTCTCAGATTAACAAAGCAACTCTGACAAGTGTATTAATGACTAATTTTAGGTTGTGGATGGAATAAATATGGCAAACGAAATGCAAAGAGTCAAAGTGGGCTAAGAAAGCACAGTGAGGGCATCCGTCCTGTAGGACAGTCCTCTTCCCAGCATCTTTTCCAGCCCAAAGAACTGTGTTCCTCACACAACACACGGGAGCTACAAGGATAAAGGCAGCTGTATAAACGAGTTAATCTCGGTCGAAGTTTCTGCTTGAAAGGGAACTTTGCCATCACAAGACCAGAAACGCAGGGCAAACGCAGGAGCCGCTGCAGTGAGCACACCAGGTCTGCAGAGCGCACAGACCCAGGGGAGCTTCAGAGGAGCCCCCGCCGGCTCCCACCACCGCAGACGTCCCCTTGTGCCCTCCAGCACGACACGGCCTTCACGGCTCAACCCGACACACTGTCACAGTCGAGGCCATGTGTCATTCTTCATTCTATTTTTCATTCTCCCCCTCTCCCTGCCTCCACGATGAACCACAGCTTAATTTTAAAGAACGCAAAACGCACAGACAGGAAGCTGAGGAGTCAATGTCTCTTGCTGTTTAGGGATATTTTCAGTGTTTTAAGAGCAATTAATTAATTCCACTGAGTCTTCAAATCAATTTGCATTTTGTGCAACAACTTCATCAAGATGCCTTAATTCTCACCTATTCCTGAAAGTTGCCTTAACTACTAAAAGTTTTCCACAATCGCAGAACTACATGAATTTGCCATCCTGCCCAAGACAGAAACTAAAGCCCTTTCTTATTTGTCAGCACATCTGACCCAGCGCTCTCTCCTCCTTCCAGCTCTTAACAAGACAATGCTGTTAAAAAAAAAAAAAAAAAAAAAAAAAGGGGAAAAAGGGAAAAAAAAAAAAAAAAAACCTAAAAAACTGAAAAAAGGATCTTAACAAGACAATGCTGTAAAAAAAAAAAAAAAAAAAAAAAAAAGGGGAAAAAAGGGAAAAAAAGAAAAGAAAAAGCTAAAAAGCTGAAGAATGGAGTTAAAACAGAGGGCTGGGGCAGAAGCAGGCGAGGGACCAGCCACATATGCAGCTGTGGCAGCAGATCCTGGGGGCTTTGCTCTCCACCAGCTGGGCTACGTTTTGGGCAGCAACCTCAACCTGGACCAGCAGTGCCCGGGCAGCAGGTCTGCCCATGTCCTGACGGCCACACAGCTCTGAGCCCAGATTGTTGGTTGTATTTTTCGGTGTACGCTAAGAGCTCCTGCAAACCCACAGAGACTCGAGGCTTGCTCGAGTCAGCAATGAAGCAGGGAACACCAGTGAAAACGAACTACTCACTCATTTTAACGATACGAGACTCCCTCCAACTGATGGCAGCTTGTTACCACCTCTCTCGACTCCATGCCAGGCTGGCCAGATGGTGCCAATTCATTTAGACATATTTCTTGGCTCATGAATTCAGGCAGACAGCCTGAAAACCATCCTTCCAGAGAACTGAATTGAGGTCAGTACAAGCATTCAGCCAGATAAATACCGAGCTAGCAGTGACAGTGTAATACAGGAAAAACTACTGACACGCACACGTTCTGCTCCTGGATTTCAGTGTTTGGGGCAGTCATTTGAGAAAAAAAAATAAAGGCTGCTTTAGTACAGAACAAGGGAGATCCATTTGTTTAACAAGTCTGACAAGAACACAGCCTGTTACATTAATACAGGACTATTGATCATGGGAAGACACCACAATGTGAGAAAACAAGATGTTTGAATACGAAGGAGGTTTATTTATGGAGAAGTGAATCACGTGAAGCAACATGAGAGCGGGACCAAAAATGCAGTGCAGGTACTGAAAGGAGGAGGAGAAAGGCTGCGTTACTGCAGCTTTCTAGGAGCAAGTAGCTCAGCTTTCCTGAGGAACACGCAGCGCCCGCCGCAGAGGGGTTTGATTTCCTTTGAAGGAGGGCTCTCCCCCGGCTGCCTGGCTGGGACAGCACCGAGGGCTGCGCTTCTCCCGGGCCCTCGCAAAGCTTCAAACACCCATGAGACACAGACAAGAGTGGCACATTTCTCTGCTGACAGAGGCACACGCAGCTTTGAAGCCTGCTGCAGCAAGTCATTAACAAAAGCAGGAGAAACCCAGCTTGCTCTAAGTCAAGCTGGTTTTGATTCATTATTAATAACACAAATGTCCATCTGCAGAAGATGCAGAGTAGGCTTCTTATGGCAGAGGCCTTGGGGAAAAAAAACATGATCTAGGTTTAACATTTTAAAAATAATTCCTGACGTCTCTGGCTTCTTTCCTGCTCTCCCAAACAGAAAATTCTAACCTAGCAGGAATAAACATAAAGCAATTCTCTGGCTCTCCACTGCAGTGTTTATTTTGCATGTGTTGCAAACCTAAACTCTTGGTCTCTCTCTTGTTTTCTTTTGTTTTTAGACTGCTGTGAACACACACAAATCCTGCAGGCTTTCAAAAACGACTGATAATCACAAATTCATTTATACCAATTAAGTGGTCAAGTCTGCAGCATGCTGAAGGTACCACCAAACCAGCTCAGATTAGAAGCAGATACACCACTACCAGGACCTTAAATTACAGGCCAGAGAAGGGCTGTGTGTCTAAGCAACTATTACCATGATCTCATGGGGAAAGCAGCCGAGGACCATGGAAACCACTCCACAACCAGGCACGAGTCCTGCTGCCTCTGTCCAAACTGCCCGCTGACCTCAGCACCGGGCACCAACGAGACTTTCCAGTCGGCCCTTCTGCTTAGAAGAAGCTTCACAGCTAGACCAAGACTAAGCAGTGCAGGAGCCTGTTCCACAGAACCAGGCAGAAACTCGAGTCGTGCCCCTGTGTTTGATGATGCCCC